TTTCTTATAGCTTTGGGGAATATGTTACAACCCACTCCATCAGCTTGGTCCCTGATCTCACTTATAAGCCATCCTTCCATTTGACTTCAGCTTCCTTCTTTCTTCTGGTTTCACTGATAGCAAAGATGTCATTAGCTTCTCTAGCAACATAGCCACGCAGTGGTCATTGGAAAAAGAGCTCATATTCAAAGAACAAATAGTCAAAGTGAAATTTGTTGATGGTCAATATAAAAGCAGTGGAATTCTAAGCACTCTTTGCCTTCTTTCCCATTATTTTATAGATGATACAGGGCTTGGCACAGTGCCTGGCACATAGCTGGTGCTTAATAAATGCTTGTTTCTTCCTCCATCCTCCTTTACTACTACTCTGTGGCCATCACTGCAGAACTAGGACTTGGCATAGACAGAAAAATATCACCATCAGATGGCCAGCCTCCTAACAATGCCCTCTCTGAGATTTGCTAGCTTGTCCCTTAGAAAACAGACTCATTCTGTTAACAAGGCCAGACTCAAAATCTTTCCAGCATGTGTGACTCAGTTTGTGCTCCACTAGCAGAGCCTTCAAAAACACAAGGTCACCTCCATATCACACGAGAGCATCAGAGAAGGGCTTTGTGGATGGTTAAATTAAAAAAATTTTTATAAGTTTTTTCATCTTTATCTCATCCATTTTTTTACATTTGTGTTTTATAATGCACATAATGTATCAGTCCAGAAGTAGAGATTTATAATTTATAAATGCACACATATTGGAGGTGTACTGATGTGTTTGAAATTTTCTATTGATGGGATTGCATGATCAAAAACATTTAGAAATCACTGATATAGAGGATAGATTGAAGGGGAGAGACCAGAAGCAGGGGGATCAGTTAATAGACTATTGTACTCATCTCAGTGGGTGGAGATGGAGTCCTGAATTAACACAGACCACGTGGGAGTGAAGAGAAAAGAATGACTGAGAGAAATACTATGAAGGTAAGATCCTGGTAACTGATTGGATATGGGGAGGGCAGGGGAGAGGAGGGGAGAAAATCCCAAGATTGTGACTCTGGACAACTTAAAGGATTTTGGTGGCCATCAACAGAAATGAAGAAGTTTGGAGAGGGATGGGTTTGAGAGGAAACATGAGCTCTATTTTAAAAGATGTTAAGTTGGAGATGCCTATGGAGCACCTGGAGGAAGAGATCTACCTATAATATGGTACTACGAGTTTGGATTCAGGAGAGAGATTGAGGTTGGACATACAGATTTGGGAGTCAGCTGCAGAGATATGATGATGATGATGATGATAACTCCCATGGGTGCTAATGAGATTATCAAAGAAGAGAGCAGAGAAGAAAGAAAAGGGCCCAGGATATAGCCTTCGTGGACACCCATATTTACTGGGCAAAAAGATAATCTGGCAAAAGATACAGAGAAGCAGCGATGAACCAAGACAGCACAATCAAATAGGAAACATGTGACAGAAATCAAGAGAGGAGGACGTATCCATGATGCGGGAATGGTTAATGAGATAAAAATGGCTCTGGTGCTGTAAGTCTGTGTTAATTCCCTAGATTTTTATTTAATAGATTTTTTTTATTGGCAACACTTGATGTGAATATTATTTCCCTATCTTTATGAATTTTATTATGCAAAAGCTTTTAATCCTTTTTACCTTTTACAATCTTTGCTATCATTTACTTAAATAAGAATCCTGCTTCTAATCATGCTTGTGAAAGGTACCTGACCTCATTTGTTTCTAATTTTTTTTTTACAGGACCTATCATATTCAGGTCCTGTATTTATATGAAACTTATCATGGTTTATGGTTGAAGAAGCTGGTTGAAATCTATGTTTTTCCAAACTTCTTTTTAATTTCACATGAAATTCTTGTAAATAGGCACTGCTTTTCCAAGTAAATTATATTTTGGGGTTGATCCAATCTATTGCCTGTTGATTTCAGCTTTGTAATATCTCTTGTCTTTCCCTACTCCAATCCATCTTCCTCTTAGCTGTCAAAGAGATTTTCCTACAGCAGGTCTGACCCCATAGCCCACTATTCTATAAACTCCACTGGCTCCCTATCACCTCCAGGAACATATAGAAAAATCCTCTGGGCGTTTTCTCTGGCTGCCCCTGGCTGGGGAGGCTCTTCCTCCTCATTTCCACCCCCTGGCTTCCTTCTAGTCTTAGCTAACATCCCACCTTCTACAAGAAGCCTTTCCCCATCCCACCTAATTCTCCAATGTATCCTGTAACTAGCCTGTTTATACACGGCTGTTTCCTTCTTGCCTCCCCCATTAGACTGGGACTTCCCTAAGAGCAGAGACTGGCTTTGGCCTTTCTTTATACCCTCGATGCTCAGCACAGTGCCTGGCCCTTAATAAATGTTTACTGACTGATCACCAACAGTAGGGACTGAGTTTAATCAATCCTGATTCTGATTTATCTTAGTTTGTTTCACCGATCCATTTTTCTATTTTCTAACCAGCACTAGCTCTGATGATTATTGCTTTAAAAGAGAGTGTGGGGTCTGGAAGTACTAATGCCCCCTCCTTCCAATTTCTAACTATTATCTCCCTTGAGAGTCCACCAGGGGAGGGGAACCTGAGGGCTTGAGGCCACACGTGGCCTCTGGGTCCTGAAGTGAGGCCCTTTAACTGAATCCAGACTTCACAGAACAAATCCCTTTAAATAAAAGGATTTGTTCTGCCACACCCAAGGACCTTGAGGTCTTGGGTTCCCCACCTCTGCTTACTTTTTGTTCTTCCAAATGAGTTTTGTTATAATTTAATCTAGCCCTATAAAGTAACTTCTTGGCAGTTTGACAGGTACTGCATTAAATCTCTAAAGTTAATTTGGTTCATGTTATTTTTATTATACTAGTGCTACTGATCATGGGTAGTAGCTATTCTCCCCATTATTTTTCTACCTTTATTTTTATAAAATGTCTTGTTTATAAAGAGTACATAAGTCTGGGTAGATTGATTCCAGACAGTTAATGTATTTTGTAGTTATTTTTGAATGAGAATTCTCTACCATTTGGTCTTGGTTTTTGTTACCTGCCTCAGATACTTATTAGCTATGTGACCCTGGGCATGTCATTTAACCTCTGTTTGTCTCAGTTTCCTCATCTGTAAAATGGGATGATATTAACACCTACCTCTCAGGACTGTTGTAAGGTTCAAATGAGATGATAATTGTAAAGCACTTAGCACAGTGCCTGGCACACAGCACTATGTAAATGTTAGCTATCATCATCATCATTATTATTATTTAGAAATGCTGCCTGTTTTTGTAGATCTAGTTTATATCTTTCTACTTTACTTAAGCTAATAATTATTTGTTAGCCAAAACACCACCACTTTGACCACTGTATTTCCTCAGACGCTTAGCACTGTGCCTGGTATATGGTAAGCACCTAGTAAATGCTTGTGGACTGATCCCGATGGGGGCAGCTCTGGACCCTGAGTGCAAGAGCCTCGGAAATAGCAATGTCCTCCAGACCTCCAGATTTGCTTCCAACCTGTCCTCCACAGCTGTCACTGAGGGGGTAGATCATTGTGGAAAAGGGGTCCACCCTCCTCATCACCTTGAGTACTGACCAGCTTGAGCTACTGACCAACTGTCAATGGGAGGATGAGCACAAGGGACCTGAGGAGAGCAGCACCCTGCAGACCATGGGTCTTGCTTCCAGCTCAGCCCTCACAACCAAAGGGGCCGGCCATCCCCACCAACTGTCAACCAACTGCTGCTCACAGGGCAGATGGGCAAGACTAGTTAAATATTATCTGAAATAGCAGGCACCCCAGGGGTGAGGAGGGAGGCAACATGTGCTAGGAAAAAAAACCCAAACCACCACCTTGACCTGAAAGAGAAAGCCCAGGACCACGAACACAACAGCTTTTGGAATAGTAGTGCCTCCAGACCAATGCCTGTGGCCACCACCCTGGGAAGCAGCTCAGCCACTGCTCCTGAGGGGCTGCAGCCACCGCTACCAAAGACCCAGAAAGGAATGTTCTTGCCATCAAAGTCCACGGTTCTGTCAGATAGTTCAGAAACTATCAGAAACAGATAAGAGTTTATCAGTGGAAACAGCATTAAACAACAGGCATCACCATGTCCTTTGGGCTGCACTCTAAGGCCTATGTGACTTTTCCATTTGTCTTGTGGCTAAAACCCCCATATTTATGGTTTCCCCCATTAGAATGTGAGCTCCTTGAGGGTAGGGACTTTATTTTCTAGTTGCATCTCCATCACTTAGCACAGTGCTTTGTATAAACTAAGCACTTAATAGATGTGTAATTCATTTATATTTAGTCATTCTTTGTTGATTCTCTAGGGTTTTCTAAGTAACCCATAACGTCATCTGCAAATAGGGATAGTTTCATCTCCTCTTTGCCAATATTCATTTCTTTCATTTCTTTCTCTTGTCCTATTGCTATTGCTAGCATTCCTAGAAAGGGAGTCAAATAATAGTGAGAAGAGGAGGTATTCTTGTTTTACCCCTATACTGACTGAGAAAGCTCCAAGCATTTCTCCATGGTAATAATGCCAATTTTTAGTAATATACTTTTTATTATATTAAAAATTATTCTTCTATGTTTATGCTTTTAAGGGCTTTTAGCTTAACACTAAAAGGAACAGGCATATAACTGAAACAAAATATCATTTTACTTTGAAATAAAAACTTTGATCTTTGTATCTGTTTTCTTTGCCTTATGGATAAAAAATAATGCAACCAACTGACACAGCTTGGTCCTTTGAGATTTTCTTAAATTGGGAGGGTACTTAGTGTTAAACGTCACATTTTATCAATTTTTTTTCTGCATCTACCATAAAAATATGGCATTTTAAAAAATATGATCAATTATGTTGCTGTCTAATACTGAGCCACCACTGCATTCCTTGGGTGGGTAAATGCAACTTTGCCATAAGGAACAATTTATTGGACAGACACCCTCTTCTTAACCAGCTGTTCACTTTCCAAATCTGCTTTTCTCTCTTTAAACACCTACCTGCAATCAATGGCCGCATTGAAAACACTGGGAAGGGGTGGGGCTCAGAGGGGGTGTGGCCTCGGCAAGGGGCGGGGCCATAAGCATCGTCAAAAGACTTCCTCCGCCATCTGCCAGGACGCTGGTAACAATCGCGGGGCAGAAACCCCAGGCTTGAGCCCTCCTTCCTCACCAGACAAGGGCCAGACTCCTTCGGTCTTCAACCTTAACCTTCCTCAGCCTAGGCCTCAGGCTCCTGGGCTCTGCCAGCTTCTGCGCGCATGCGCCGTGAGACAAACCTGGCAAAGCGCCAGGAGGCTGCCGCCTACATGACACAGCCGAGATCCAGGCGTTGTTGGGGCCAGCACGCGTCTCCCCTTCTAGGCTTGCGCAGGTCTGTCAGCTGCCAACTTCTGCGCGCATGCGCCGTGAGACAAGCCTGGCTTGTTGGAGCTAGTACGCGCCTCTCCAGCCAAGCTTTGCGCCTGCGCGAGCAGAAAAGGCGGGGAAGTGTCAGTCTGGGTAGCCCAGAGGGAGGAGAGGGCGGGAAGATGACGACCAGGTGGTGAGGGGCGGGAAGCGAACAGGTGAACAGGTGAGGCAGCTCGCCAGACTTTCAGTTTCTTCCTTCTGGGGGTTTCGAACCAGGAAGGGGAGAGGTGATATGGGATACCCCAGGAGGGATTGTGAGGAAGGGGATGGGGGGGCAGGTTGTGAGGTTTGGGGCAGGCGAAGGAAGGGAGGAAAGTGTCAAAAGGTGTCACTGTGACGGGGGGGCCTGGAGGAAGAGGGAGGGAGGTGAGAAGTGGGAGTGGGGTGGAGGGAGTGGGGGAGGTGGGGGTGGGGGAGAGGTGGGGGTAGGGGGAGGTGAGAAGTGGAGGTGGGGGGAAGGGAGTGGGGAGGTGGGGGGGAGGGGGAGGGGGAAAGGTGGGGATGGGGGCGGAGAGGAAGAATGGGGGTGGGGTGGAGGGAGGTGAGAAGTGGAGGTGGGGTGGAAGGGAGTGGGGAGGTGGGGGAGAGGTGGGAGATGGGAGTGGGGTAGGGAGTGATGGGGTGCTTGAGTGCCCGTGCTTGGACCCCAATTTCTCCTTGGCCTCAGAAACACTATCCCTGGCAATTTCCCTCCAGCCCAAGGATCCTGTCTCTGTCAATAACTCACGAGTGGGCCCAGTGAAGCAAACTATCTCTCCCTGTTAGAGGAACAAGCTGAGGGGGCAGCTAGGTGGCGCAGTGGATGGAGCATCGACCCTGAAGGCAGGAGGCCCTGAGTTCAAATCCAGACTCAGACCAAACACTTGACACTTACTAGCTGTGTGACCCTTGGCAAGTCACTTAACCCCAATTGCCTAAAAATTTTTTAAAAAATTTAAATAGGAGAACAATTGACCTCTGTAGAATTTCCTGTGTATGTATAGGACTGTCTTGTATCAACAGAACCATCAAATACAGTCACTGTATACAACCCAGAGGTCAAGCTATAGACATCAACTCCTGAAACTATCTTGTTACGGACATAACAGACTAAAAATATACCCTTTAGAAACCCTCTCTTCTCTCCATCCCACCCTGGTTTCCAGTAGTGAATGACATAGTTGTATGTTATCACCTAATTAGCATACTTGGCACATAATACATTACACATTTCCCATAAAAGCTTTAGCATCGTTCCTGTTAGGTTGTAAGTTCCCTGAGCAGCTCTGCCCACTGTATAGCATAACAATAAGTCTTTGCCACCTTGACTTAAAGAATGCTCGAGTCTGTGAATTCATTCCAGATGACCCTGTCCTGTACTCTGGTCTTTGAGAGGTCTCAGCCTCTCAGACCTCAACAGGGAGGAGGCATTCTGCTACCCAGCTTTTGTACTGGCCTGTACCTCGTGCCTGAAAGGCTCTCCCTCCTCACCTTCCAAGCCCTCTCTGTCAAGGGCTACCTCCTTCCCTCCCTCCCTCCCTGAGACCTTTCCTGCTCCTTCCAGCCTTCCCTCCTGAAATTGCTTTGGATATTTGTATATTTTATTTGTGCAGATACGAGTTGTTTCCCCGATGGAATTCGACCTCCTTCATTGAAAGCAGAGGCAGTTTCATTTTCACTTTTTTGGGTGTGTGTGTTCCCCTAATGCATGCTTCCCTATTGCGTTCCTCATGGTAGCTGTTCTGAACCTTCTCTTCTCTCCTTGAGCCCCTACACCATCCCCTGCCCTTGCCTTCTCAGCCCAGAACCTCTTCCTATTTAATTCCTATTTTATTGAGACAACAGGGACCTTCTGCCTTGACCTCCTACTTCTCCCCTTCATCTCAAAAGGTATTGTGTGGTTGTGGATTGTAGGCTTGTCCCCCCAGATCTGGAGTGGGAGAAAGTGCCACAATTATTAGTGTGTGAGGGGCACAGATATTGGGGAAGGGTCTTACAGTAGAGTAGAGTGGATTTTAGGGACAGTTCATAAAGAGCTGCCCTTCCCAGAAAGGAGTGTTTCTGTGAGGTTGTATTATGATGGGATTGGGGTGTCCACAAAATTTGAGGAAACCCAGAAGATATGAGAGTATTATAGGCCTATGTGGAGTCACCCTAGGATGCAGGTAGGCTTCAGTTAATTTTGTGTTTTTTTTTTGTTTTTGCTTTTTGGTGAGGCAGTCGGAGTTAAGTGACTTGCCCAGGGTCACACAGCTAGTAAGTGTCAAGTGTCTGAGGCTATCCTCCTGACTGTAAGTCCAGAGCTCTATCTACTGTACAACCTAGCTGCCCAGATTCAGGTAATTATGAGATCACCATAAAGTCATGAGAAGTTCCTTCCAGTCATTTTGGGGTCACATCACAGGTGTGGTTGGGATGATTTTTGGTGTGCATGGGTATTTTTCGGTTTCTCCATGGGAGTCATGAGCCTTACATCATTATTGGGCAGTTAGCTCATGGAGTGTGAGATGCTATTAAGAATTATGTATGTGTATTAAGGGGCATGGGGGTCCCTAAGTTTTTATGGTCCCACTCCATGGGGAATGGGGGAATCACAAGTAATCATGGGGTTTCACTGGAATCTGGGGGCTTACTAGCTTTTGTTGGATTGCCACATGATAGCAGGACAAGGCCTTTTGGGGTCAACCCCAGGGTGTGTATAGGGCATTCTGTCATGGGTTGGTCTCACAGTAAGAGAGTCATGTTATTGTGGGATTGCTAAAGAGGGTAGATGGATAATAGTTCATTTTTATGGTCACCCTACTCGATTGGAAGGGAAAAAGGGATTTTGATTCAGAGTTATACCAAGTGGCATGTTAGTAGAATGAGTTGAGAGGTCTCCCCATTAGGGTGAGGAAGGCCAAACTGGTTGTGGGGTTACTCCACAGGATTGCTGGTGGGGGGTATTGGGCACAGAGGGCCAGCTTGCTGTAGGATTGTCCTGAAGGACTAATGGGAGGGGCTGTAATTTGTGTGCTTAACCCCAGGCCATAAGGGACCACAAGTTACTTTTGGAGTAACTTGTTGTTACAGAATTAGAGAATTAGTGGAGACCTCAGCAGCTATCTAGTCAAACCCATACCTAGAAAGAATCCTCATTATAATATACCTGACAAGTGGTTGTCCAGCCTCTGCTTGAACATCTTCAGGTAGAAGGAACCCCTTGGCACCCCTGAAGTATTGAAGTTCACAGCTATTTGGGGGTCACCCTATTGGAGATGAGGCATACATCTTCATGAAGTCACCCTCAGGTTGGATGGGGCATACAAGTCATTGTGGGGTGACCCACAAGGGCTCTGGATGGGCTATAGCTCATTTGTGTTTGAAAACACAAAGAGAAATAATCCCATGAGTATTTTTACAAGACTTGCTCTGGTTAGCCCTGGAAGGCAGAACTGGGAGCCGTGGGTGGAGGTTATCAAGAGGAAAATTTAGGTTTGACATAAAGAACAACTTCTCTCAAAAGAGGGTGGGTCACCTCAAGAGATAGTAGGGCAGCCCTCCCTGGGAGTCAGAAGGCAAAAGCTAGATTCTTTGTTGGGTGTGTAGTAGGAAGGATTCTCATTTGGGCCATTTGGGCTAGCTGGCCTCTGACAGTATTAATATATAGTAATAGCACATTCTATAAGGAAATAGTAAAAATGTCAAGGTCACAAACCAGAGTGACTGGAAGGATGGTAGAACTATAACAGTTTCCTCAACAGTCATGGGAAAGTTCAGAAAAGGAAGGAGGAGGGCTTTGAGGAAAACATAGTGAGTTCAGTTGAGTTTGAGATGTCTCTGGGACATGCAGCTTGAAAAGCCTGGGGGAAAGAGAGACAGATATGTGAGTTGTGTGCATGGAGATAATAGTTAAATCCATGGAAGCCAAGGAAATCACTGAGAGAAGTGTATAGAGGCAGAAAAGAGAAGGCCTGGGTCAGAACTGTGAGGAACAGCCTCATTTAGGATGAGTGCTATGAACAATAATGACCCAACAAAAGGGATGGGGGAAAGGTCAGACAGGCAGGAGGAGAAGCCAGAGAAGACATTTTCAGGCAGGGAGGGTGGTAAACAGTGTCAGGTGCATCAGTTAGGTCAATAAGGATGAGGACTGAGAAGTGAGCTCAGCTTGGGACACATTGAATTTGAGGTGCCTATAGGATGTTAAAGGCTAGGAGTCGAACAGGCAGCTGGTCAGTCAGTCATCAAACATTTATTAAATGTTTATTTAAAAATGTCAGGCACTGTGCTAAGTTCTAGAGATACAAATACAAATAAAAAGAAAGATAGTTCCCACCCTTAAGGAGATATAAACCCGAAAAAAGAAGCTGAAAAAGTATATAGAGGGAGGGGATGGAGGGGGAGAAGGTACCAGTTTGAGGGCATGATGGAGACATCTAAAAAAGTCCAAAAGTGATGTAGCTGGCAGAAATGAGGAGAAGAGTAAGCTGGGCCCCTCCTTAAAAGGAGGCCCTGGAGCCCATGGCATGCCAGGCAGAGGGTTCATACAGAAGGACAGAGGGGGACTGATAAGATTCGAGGACCCAGCAAATTTAATCTTGCAAAATAATGAGATTTCCCAATAATGAGTTTCCTGGGGAAAGAAGGTGTGATGGAGAAATTTAAAGAAGTCCAAAAGCAGGGTGGGAAATGGGGAGAACACTGTGCTGGGGCCCCTCCTTAAATGGAAGCCCCTGGAATACACAACTTGTATAGTGTCTACTGCTTTTGTCTCTTACTAGGGTTTTCTAATCCTCTTAACCTGATTAAGGAACTTCATACTTCTTTAAGGAATCAGGAAGTATAAATCTTCACTAGTAAACATCTGAAAAGGGCACACCTTTTAGAAGATGCCAAAAGGCCACTTGGGAGTCCTCCCAGGGCAGCCTGTGACCCTCCCACTCTGTAACGGTGTCCAGCAGGCTGGAGGGAGTCAGTTGATGAGGGGCCCTGCTGAACACCTCTTCCTGCCCTGCCCCACTCCCAATCCAGGAGGCATAGTCCAA